AAACCTACAGAAGGCTTTGTAAGCGATCCACAGCTGCTGCCTAGGATCAAAGAGGTAATCGTTTCTGGCTTACTTTTTTAGTTAATTTGATCGCAAATCTTTTGTGCAGCTCCTATTTTCTGATTATCCTTTGATTTCGATATTTTCTAATTTTTTTTGTTGTAATGTGAGACTACGTTATGTTTCCAGCACTGTCGCAACTTCCCAGACCAGAAGTTTTTTCGGCCTGAAGACGTAGCTTTTGACTTACAAAGGAAATACTTGTAAGTTCTTGAATGATCTTTGAAGCTTCATATTTTCTGACAGAGAGCTTTTTCTTTCAGTGAATACAGCCGTAAGAAATACAAACCCTTCGTAGCAATAGTCCGCGAAGGGCTCAATCGTTTGAATATCAAAGATTCACCTGAACCTGAGGTTGCGAAGGTCGAAGAAGTGGAAGTCGTGAATGAGCCTGATATCGCTGTAGTTCGTGAAGTCATTTCACCAGCAACGGCAGCGAAGAACGAGAGGAAGAGGAAAGCTCAAAGGTGCGTAAATATTATTTTTGGTCAGACTAGTTACTTTTCATTCCACATATTGTATGTTACTGTAAGTCCGAATAAGCTATGGTGAATTATCTTGCATTTTTTGGTTTGAACGTTTTTATATCAGTTCATTTTCGATAGCTTAATAGACAATGTTTCCTTTGAGTTTTATCGTTTCCGAACTCATCGACCCGTTTTGTAGCTCTACTTCCTCAACGCCTAAAGTTGAAGACGTCTACGTTTCTAGTGACGAGGAAAACGATAAGCAATTTGAGGACATCAAGGTGTGATTTCTTTTCTGTCAGGGCATGTAAACATGCATATCCCCATTCTTTGATCCGTCAGCTTCCTGGTGATTTAGACACCAAATCGTGCTAATAAATCGATATTGAACCTTTACAACAGCGCAAAGAAGATGGAGTCTTCCCCAGTTCTGAACACAACGACATCAGCACCGTCGAAGAAAAAACGAGCAGCAGGAGCTGTAAAAAGCACGGTATGTTTGCTTGAGCCCTTAGTAAAACTTTGGAACAAACCATCCAGCTCGCAGGTCAACGCACACACAAATAGTCCTTCGGCCGCTCCTCGGGGTCTTGGCAATGTTCCCACTCTTGCCGTACAACCTCGTCCCTCTCCAGTGAAGTTTGAAGACCTGGGCGGTTGTGACAGGCAGTTTCTGGTCAGTTAGCGCATTTTTATAAATGTAAAACTGTGCCAGGTACAATCTATGACGGATTATACGAGCGTTTGAAATGCTTTATTTTACTTTTTTCCTCAAATTGCAGGAAGTTTGCCGTCTCGCTATGCATATGAAGCGACCACACACGTATAATGTGCTAGGAGTTGAACCACCAAAGGGATTCTTAGTACATGGTCCTCCTGGATGTGGAAAAACACTTTTTGCTCAGGTTTGGTTCATGATTTTCAAGCCAAAATGGTGGTTGCCGTTTTCTTTTTTTTTCACTTTTGGGAATCATATTTTCGGCGGATCTGGCGTTATGTGGTAAATAGTCTTGAAAACTACTTTACCAAACGTCATAACTAACGAAAAAGTAGTTCATTTCCATGCTTTTCTCTGTTTTTGCCTTTTTATTTATTTTTATCGTTTACTATCAACTTTCTTATATGGTTTACCTTGCCGATCTTTTCAGGCGCATTCTAAAAGGTTTCCATTGGCATTTGCCTTCAGTTTACATCCTTCTTGATATCTTATTCTAATTAAATGAGGCTTCAATGATTTTTTAAAAAATTTACGCTTCAGGCGGTAGCCGGCGAATTTGACTTGCCTATGATCCAACTTGCTGCCACGGAACTAGTATCCGGAGTATCCGGCGATACCGAAGAGAAAATCCGTCAGCTGTTCATCATAGCAAAACAGAGCGCTCCGTGCGTATTGGTGAGTTAACGATGAGCGGTGCCAGTGTTTACTTTGGTATATTTGTGTTAACTTGTCGAAGCTTC